GCTGGACACACAGTACCGCATGGTGAGGCTTTCCTCAAGCTGCAGCAGAAAATGTTACCAGCAGGGTTTGGCTGAAGCCATTGGAAAAGAGATATTCTCCATTTCCCTTGCCAGAGCAATGAATAATGCATTTGTCCAGTAAAGCACAGTGGAATTGCAGGTGAAACCTGCTCCAAAAATGCTGCCAGTTAGGAACGTTTTTTTCCTAATGTTATTGTATCATTTTTTTTTTTTTTTTTCTGCCAGCACAAAAACATCTGTGAGTTCCCATCCCAGGAGTTCTATGAACATCGCCTGAAGACGTGTCCCCAACTTCTTCGCATACCCAGTGTCCTATACCACAAGAATAACCGCTGCTGCCCCATCATCTTTGGGCATGTGGAAGGGAAGGAGCAGAGCCTGGTGATCTCCACCGAGGAAGGAAATGAAAACTCCAAAGCTAACCCAGAAGAAGTGGAGCAGGCGGTGAGCAGGGCCCTAAGGTTATGAATGGGAGGATGCCGTGCTGGGAGGGATTGTGGATGGTGAGTTTTGAGATCGGATGGGGATCGGTGTGGTGGGTGCAGGTTCTGCTCGTGTCTGCAGCGTGCTGTGCTGCTCCTGGCCAGAACCAGAGGTAGGGAAATGAGACCCAGAGGTGAGCAGCACAGTTGGGCGCCATCGCTGCCTTGGGGATGTGCTGAAGGTCTGCTGGAGGTTCCCAGGTGAGCAGAATCGTGGTCTCTCCAGGTGAGGATTGCGAAGCAGCTGACACTAGATGGCACCATCCGGCCGGAGAGCATCGCCATCCTCAGCCCTTACAACGCCCAGGTGTCCGAGATCAACAAGCGCCTGCTGAAAGAAGGCATCCGCGGCATCACTGTCTGCACCATCATGAAGAGCCAAGGTGGGGCTGGAGGGAAGGCACTGCTGCCCTCTCCCGAGGGCTGGAGCAACTTCTCACCGTGACAAATCCTACAGCAGAGTAATTGCAGCCATGCGTGGACCCAGTTTCTGGGTGTTTTGTGATGATGATAAATCAGAGCGCCCAAGTGGGATGGGGCTGACGGGAGTGGGAGGCTCAATGGAGAGGGCATCTGAAGGGGTTATTAAAGATCTGCTATTGGGGCTGCAGAGATCAACGAGCAGGAGTTGGGTGGCCTCCAGAGCTGGAGAAAACCAATTGGTGCTTGCAGGTTATGGGTCTTGTGTAGTGTGGAATGGCCAGATGCTTCCACCTAAAATACGTGGTTCGTTTGTGCTTTGTAGGAAGTGAATGGAGATATGTGATCCTGTCAACTGTACGCTCCTGCCCTCGACACGAGATCGACAGGAAGCCCACCAAGAGCTGGCAGAAGAAGTACCTGGGTTTTGTCACTGACCCAAACCAGGTCAACGTCGGCATCACCCGTGCTCAGGAAGGACTCTGCATTATAGGTGGGTGAGCTGGGAGCGTGCACAGCCTGCAGGGGAGCAGCACAATTGGCAGAAAGGGATGGAGGTCCACATGGTTGTCTTGCTTTATTCTTCTGCCCTTTCTCTGTGGTTTTGAAACTGGGCTATACGGGCAACTTGAGCAAAGCAGAGATTGTGTGTGGCTCATGTGCAGCATGTATAGTTAGTTTCTCTCTGTTTTGGACCATGTTGTTTCCATCACTTGCGTTCTAGTCCTCTGTTCTAACAGAATTTACTTCTTCGTTTCCCAGTAATTGGGCAGACGTAGGCTGTGATGCGTAAGGAAACTGCTTGCAAATGTGGCAGAACTAAAAAGGGAGCTGTGGTTTCACAGAGCTCTGGCAGACAAGAATATCCCCAGAGTTACCCAGCACTGCTAGCAGTGTTAAGCAGAGGTGTCTGTGATGATACTTTATGAGCCTCTTTTGACCACTGCCTCCCTTCCCTGTGCCAACAGGGAACCGGTACCTCCTAGAGTGCAACCCTTTGTGGAGGAGACTGCTCCAGCACTACGTAAGTCATAACTGCTGTACAACAGGCCAAGGGATTTGTGTCAAGAAGACTTCAGCCTTCCACCGATGAAGATGAGTTATGCCTGGATGAGCTCGTCCCTCTTCACCCAGACTGTGCTACGTGTGCCTTGGGAAGGACGCAATCTTTCCATTATTCAGACATGAACCACCACATGAGTCAAATGCACCGGGAAAAGTTGGGATCTCTCCCTGCATGTTGACAGCTCAGTCTCAATACGTGCTTTGGTGACTTGTTTTTTATATCACTGCGACCTTGTATAGGAACTTTCACCTCTAGCAAACCAAAAAGCATTGGATGTGGGTGGATGGGCAGATGTGACTTTATTGATGATTATTTTTTTTTAACTAGAAGATGCTCGGTGCAGCCACCATCCTATCTGTTAGTGCAGCTGTGCTCTGGGGACCAAATACATATTCCATTTATCGGAGGTGGAATGACTGCATGTGGCAGATCCACACGGCAAGCTGCGATTTGCCCTATGGGACCAAATCTTCTGAGCAGTACCACTCATTTTAAAATCAAGGCCAGGGAATTTTTTTAAGGCTTTTTATTTCTCAAAGCAGGAAAATAATCTTTTGTTGGTTTGTTTTTGTTCTCAAGAGAAGGAAGAAAGCAAAAAGAGAGCCATGTTCCATGCTGTCTAGCCAAAGTGCTGTTCTCCGAGCTTGTAAATATCACTGACCCAAGGCTAAGTTGGTTTTTGTAAATAGATTTTACTCTTTGTACAAAGGAGGCTGTCCTCACCAATATACAGCGAGTGGAAACTGAGGACTGCTCCTATGAGGAAATGTTGGAGTTTGTAAAGATATTTTAAACTGTTCTGAGTTTTATTTGAAATCTCCTCCTGTAAGATCCCCCTCCCTTTCCCCCCCACCCCCCCCATATTTTTTTAAAGCTGCTTCTAATTTATTAATGTTTAAATCTGTGAATTTGTTTCACAGTCTATGGCCTGAGGTTTTTAAGAGCGGTGATAACTCGGTGAGCTCATCACACAACATATATGTCTATACTGTATGTTTTTATTTAAAGCAGCCAAACTGCTGTGTACTGGAAGCTGTGATTTGCTCAGGAAGGTTGCTTTGCACGGGAAGCCATGGCTGAGAGGGATGCACTGTGGTGAAGTGATGCTCTCTACTGAATTGTGGAGCTGCTTTTAGAAGCACGATAGTTTTGAAGGAGAATTCCTTCATTTCATTTCAGTTCTGAATGTATGAAGTGCCTGCTTCAGCTGTCCCTGAAACCATGTGGCTGACTCTGCATGTTCACATAGGATGGGGCCAGGATGCAGTCACAGCATTTTTGCACTACATACACATGTATGTATTGTGCTGGGACACAAGTCATCCCTGGCATAAAAGAACTTCACAGCACTATGGCAGAGATGAGTTTTGTCCTGTGATTGCAGCTGAAAATGTAGTGTGGCTCTTCCCAGAGTGAAGGAATGTGCAATAAGAAAGCATTGTGTCTGACAAAGCCCTTAATGCTGTGTTACTGCGTTCTGACTCCGTTAGACTTGAGAACTTCTGGAGCAGTTTTGTTCCTCCTTTGTTTTAAGCTACCCTCCTGCACTTCTGTGATTGATGGGTTTGATCTGTACATCCGTATTCTTGTACAAACTGACAGATGGTTGCAGTTCTCCACGGTCCAACAACCTTTGGGAAGTATTCCTGCTGGTTCTAAGGGTGATAAAAACTGATGTCCTTTGTTCCTCCTCAAAGCCATTCCGCCCTGGATCTTAACAGTTCCACACCAGCCTGCTTTTGCAATTCCAAAAACGAGCAATTCCAAAACGAGCTTGTATAGGAGTAATTTTGTATAGAAATAATCTTGTGGGTGACTGAAATGCAGTCATCTCTCTCAGTGATGACTGCAGGATGGAGAACTGCAAAAGGTGCAGCACTAAGAGCCAACCCAGGCTGCTGGGTGCTTGTGCTGTGATCAGGTATCTCTGGAGTGGGTCGTGTAGCTGCAATAGTCAGGGTTAGCAGAAAGTGCAATTAACCAAACTTTTTATAGACTGTTAGTGCCAGCTGAATATCATGTTCTCGTCCTTGTGTTCATGAATAGAGAGAATCATAGGAATTAATACAGAAAACAAGCTCAAAATGGTCAGGTTTCATTTAAGAGTTTTTAATTTACTTTTGAAAGCCTGCTGGGCTGTGTCAGCCCGAGGGCTTGGGCTGATCTGTGTCAGACAGTTAATTTACTGCAATAAATTGTTGTTTTTTTTAACAGAGATGAAATGTTAAGTGTCATAAAGCGTAAGTTAAGGAACTTTAAATACGGCAGGTTTTTATTTTTTTGTATGTCTGTGACTTGCAACAGACCTCAAATGACTCTTTGGATACAAATATTTTTACCTGCTTCTAACGTTTGTAAAAATGAACCTCGACATTCCTTTTTTTTTTTTTTTTTTTTAATATATATATATTTAAGCCATAATTGTTAAAGTGATTCGAACTTATTTAAGTAATAAATTTTATTACTAAAAGTTCTGTTGATGTGGCAGTTTAATTAGAAGCTGTGTGGTGATGGCTATGTTTTGAATTAACCGAATGGTAAGAAAGAGAAGAAGCATTGAGAATGGCACACGGTGGAAAAACTGTCTTCTAAATGTTGGTCTTCTGGGTATGTTACACTTTCCTGTTCTGACTGATTATTTTAATCTCCTTGCACTGTAAGGGGTGAGCATGAAATCATGAACTCTGGTCACCCCATAGCTTATAATCACCTAATCGTGACTTCAACATGTGCATAAAGCAAGCAGTGGGCATCTTTTGGTGAAGGAAAGCACTGGGAGGCAGAGATGTTTTTCTACCTGCTGCACTTTGCATCCATGCTATCCTGCAGGACTGTGGGAAGCTGCTCCCACCTGTGAGCTCTGAGTCCTGAATGCTGTGTAAGGACGTTATTTGTTCAGAGAAACGTGGGATTGGTTACTGTTAGCATAGATGAACTTGTGGGAGGCACTTGCTGTTGAAAACAGAACGAATTCGGGGTGGGGGGGAAAGAAACATAGCTCAACAAAATGCTCAAATATCAGGATTTTTTCTTTATTCTTCTTGTTCACTTTTTTTCAAATGGAAAATATGGGAAAGCATTCTTGTCAGCCACCTCATCCATTGGTTCTTGGGTGCTTTTGTCTTCAGTTATGTTAGCTTTTGTGGTCAGTGTGATGGTGTCATGCCATACTTCATAGACCAGCGTGTATACTTCTGCTCTTCTGATCATGAATTCGTACGTTCGGTCAGGCAGCAGGCCCTGGACTACACAGGTGTTGGTGGTACGTGTCACAAGCCCACAGTGTCCAAATTCTGCCTGAGTTCCACGCTTCACTAACTTAAAATGCAGTTCAAATTGTTCGTGGGGTGACTCTTGATTTTCGATGGACCATTTGAGGTGGGCCCAGTTCTTGTGTGCAAATGATTCGTTTCGATCAAACATAACTGGCATCTTTGCACAGAGAAAAAGCCGAATGTCTGGTATTTTGCTACCCCTAATATCTGCACATGACACCAAACGGTGCTTGGTGTAGAGCCTTCTTGATACTTGCACGGAAATGAAATTGTTCATTATTTTGGAGAGGTCTGACATTCTCTGCTTAATCGAGTCCCACTTGGAGAGGAAAGTTACCATGTCACAGGTCTCTACGTAGCAGACCAGCTCCTCCCGACCTCGTTGCAGCTCTTCTAACAGGTGGGTTAAAAGCTGCAGATGGATTTCAGTCTGGGATCTTCCCATTTTCTTCACTCTCTGGAATTTCCAGGGGTCAATTACTTGGAAGATGCTGGTAGGAAGCGCCAAGAGATTCTGGTCTCTCAGGATCAAAAATGTGGGCAGAACCTCAATGTAATAGCAACACTTCTTCAGAAGCTCCACTTTCTTCTGATGTATCTCGAGGAGGTGGAGGCTCAGATCAGATTGCAGGTACTGCCGTACGAGGCTGCTTCTCTCGGCGTACCTCCTGCGGGTGGCATTGCCTTGTTCCTCTGTGCTGTGTACAGTATTCTCTGAATTGGTTTCACATTCATTCAAATTCACATTCATGATTCCAAAACTTGCTGTTTAAAAAAAAAAAAAAAAAAGTAGCTGTAATGAAATTAAGAACCAAAGAAAAAGCAGCTGTGAAGGAAATCAGGGCTGTGACTTCTCTCTCTCAATGGAAGCTTATCTCACAAATCTATAGATGAGAACTGCTAAACTGTATTTTAACAGGAATTTTCCTTTCTAGCTGTATGATTTCTAATATTTTGTCTACTTTCATATATTTCAAACCACTGATCTCCTGTTACCCCCCCCGGGCTGCTCACGCTCTGTTTAACAGATTCACTGCCAGAATTATTCTCTGATACACTCTGCCAAAATTTCTCCCTTATTTGCTCTTTCTTTCTAATTAGACACCTTTGTGCTCCTGTACACAGTTTCTCTCCAGTCTTCTAAATCTCTGGGGACGTCTGTTTCTCTTTTGCAATCTGCCAGGCATCTTCATTCAGTGCAACTTTCTGGTCATAGTAGCTAACTGTGATGTTTTAATGTCTTGAAGCTAGGTGGTGTTATCCAGTTGACAAAGAAGTTTCTCTTAGCCTGGCTTCCCCTAAATAGATAATAGAAGTAATAATACTTCCTTCTTGGAGTTTTGGGAGCTGGTAAACCTGCCAGAAGTCTGGCCTCCCTGCAATTTACACTATCTCACTCATTCACACTAAATCTTTTTTCCAAGAAAGCTGTCAAGTTAAAAAAAAAAAAAAAACAAAAAAAACCCCATATTTCCTTTTCACTTTTTCTCTCTAGAAAAATACCCTAAAACCAAAACAGTGACGGTTCTTGGCAGCCCGGTACGAAGTGGAACAGGGACAGCACGCACAACAGGTTACACCAGCGCTTTCAGAACAATTTGGCTGTCTGGAGTGGTTTGTTTGCCCACAGACGGAGATGTGATTGTGGTTGTTTTCCCTTCTGTTTTTACATCCCTTTTCTCTTGCCAGAAACGTCTGCTTTTCGGCAGCACTGCGAGGTTGGGAATAGCAGAGCCTGGTGCTGCATGGCTCTGGAGAGGGCTGGGTGTAGGAAATGGGGACCAGAGGAAGCTGGACCACTCTGACCCACCTTGCCCAACCTTGGGGAGCCCTTCTTCCCCCTGGCCAGCCAGGGAGCCCCGTCCCACTTCTGCACCCCCTGTGCTCCCAGCCTGGCCTGGCCCTCGCCTTGCGGCCTGGCTGGCTGCATCTGCAGTCCTCAGCCGTTACCATGGCAGCGCATTGTGCTGTATGAGGGCTGAGGCCTGGGGCAGGTCTGTGGTTGGGGCTGGGTGTCTCTCCCTGATTAACCAGTGAGGTGTGTGTGCGTGCTGATAGTGCTGTCTCAGACTGCCTTCCTGAGCTGGGTGCTGGCTGTGCCGGGGCTGAGGGACTGGCTTTTGCCTGCTTCACAAGCATCCTCTGTCCTCAGCATGGCCAAGAGCTGTGCCAAGGAGCCCTGGGCTGCCAGTGTGGATTCCTAGAGAGCTGCAAAGGGATGAGCAGGAGTGCGAGGGTAGCTCCCTCCTCCTCCAAAACCTATTTTGTTTTACCTCCCGTTTTGTGCCCTGGCTGTGGGCTATGGGAGCACTAAGCCGATGCTCTGAGGAGTCCAGGGTTTGTGGTTATTGCAATATCCAAAAGACAATTTCCAAAGCTTTGATTCCCTGTGTAAGGCATTCTCACTGCTTGCTTCACCTCTGCTGCATGAAGCTAGGCAGCGGCTGCAGTGCTTTACCATCCCTATCTCCAAGTCCTTAGAGCCTGACAGAGCCGCCTCACTGCGGGCCGGTTTAAGGCTTGGTTCACAGAGCCCTGACTTCAGCAGCAAACCACGGTGACACAGCCCTAAGCCAGGGATCCCTGCAGACAGGGATGAAACAGCTATTGCAGGTCATCACTGTCTGCGCAGCACCCTCAGACCAGGGTGTAGGGCATACAGCACTGAGCAGAAAAGCTGGTTCCATCCTGGGGAGCCCTGAGCTGTCTCTCTGTACCCTGGGAAGTGACTGCTCCATTAAGTGAAGCAAGCTTCCATTTGGGAAGGAAGGGATTTTCCTGTTCTGCTGTGCTGAGGGACCAGACCGGCCAGTCTGTTCTGTTTTATTGCAGAGGAGAGGCAGGCTCGTCTGGTTCACAGCAATAAGCTCTGCACCACGACCGGGGCTGCCATCAGCAAGCTAGACAGACTTTCTGGGTCTGAAGGTGCTTTCATACTCCCTGCGATTAAGTCTTTGGGTTGGAGCTTAGCCTTAATGCTGTCTTGGACGCTTAGCTGGTGCATCTTTGCTAAGCTTTTTTAATTGAATGATAGCCAAGATCCATAACACTGTCCCTGAGCTTCTGCTTGAGCATCGAGCAAGGAGGTGATCTGTCATTTTAAGAAATCAATGCATCTTCTCCTGGCAGCCTGAGCTTACTGTTTCATTTCACAGCTGCCAAGAGATTAACTATACAATTGTCAGGTGTGATTCTGTAACAGATGAGGAAGATAACAAATACAAGTGAAAGAAAGTTGATATCCTTGCTCGAAGGAGGTTAACAGAGATCACTATTTGGTAATAAGCATGCCAAGTTCCTGCAAGAAATGGATGTGCTGAGATGTTCGTGTCATAGATCCCAAACCTGTCACAAAGCGTGCTGGGAACTGGAGCTCTTTCCTCGTGTTCTGGGTTTTTAAAACAGCAAAGGTGGAGTCCTTGGCTTAGCCATGTTACTCTTCATTTTGGTAAGGGTAGGATGCCATCTGAGTGCCTTCCATGAGCACAGTATGATGTGAGATTGAAAGTGGATTTGTTGCTGAGACTTCTGCACTGAGCTTGCTTGCGATTCTCACCATCATAAGTGAGAATCTTCATCTCAAATTAGAATGGAGAAATGAAATTCCTTTGGTTACCTCTATCCTAAACAGCTGGCCAAGTTTCTGTCTTGATTTTAGGAACATGAGCATAAACCTGCTTGCAGTCTCCAATATTTTCAGTATTTTTACATCAGAGATCGATTCAACTATAGGATTTTTTACAGTTCCCCGAGTTTCTCTGAATTAATACAAAATGTGTTTGAAGCCATCAAACTTCATATACTCCTCTCCCTCCCCTCTCATCAGCTGAGCTGCCACTGCTGAGAAGCTGACAGCTGCTGTTTACCATTTGTCATTCTGCCCTGTCCTCCTGACTACAGCATCAAAATAGAGAACTTGTTAGTCTTTAAGATCAAGATATAAGCAGACAATTGATTTTCCTCCCTCTTCTCATTAGCGAGTTCTGACACTTAATAAAACATGTATTTCCACCCTCGGAGCAAACAAAACACCCAGATAGTGCCTGTCAGAGAGACCTGGAAGCTGGAATTCATCTTTATGGAAAATCAATAGCTGGAACAGAGAAATTGGCAGAATCCAAATTAAAAGTCGCTGGCAATTTCTGTCTTCATATTTCACATCTATTGCATTATGAAATAGTAATCTGCTGCAAAGAGGAGCAGGGAGGGTGATGGACTTTGTCACTGGCAAGTGCGTGGTTCTTCCTCTCTGCTTTGTGCAGGGGTGGTCAGGTCTCCTGGGTGAAGGTGGACCCCAGGGCTGCTGGAAGCAGACACAGGTTTGGAGCAGCTCTTTGGGCAGCACCAGCTGCAGTGTGGCCCTGGAAACAGAGGTCTGCTCCTGCTCTGCCACTTTCCTGCATCCATTGCTGGCAGCACTGTTGGAAGGATTCCCAGTGTCACCACCTCCTCCAGGCCTCCTGGCTGTGTCCCTGTATCCCTTGACCCTATATCTCATATCTGGCTGACCCCACAGGAGCTGCCTGTCTGCACCGGGCTTCTTCAGCTCCCTGGATCTCAGGGTGTGATTGATTTACTCACTGCTTGCTCCCAGTTTCACTAGTGCCTCATACACCTGAAATAAATTACACGTTCCGGATAGATTATATCTCCAAAATCTAAACCACACACCAGTGAACTCAATTTGCTCATCAGGATGTGATTCAGAGGGCTCGCTTTGAGAAGGAAGAGGGAGGTAAGTTTTCTAAGGGATCCAGTGGGAGAATGGCTTTTCTGAGATGAAGAGCTCCAGCTGGATCAGGCCAGGAAGGAGTTAATTGCAATTAAGCAGCAATTATCTCTAACTCATTGCACCTACTAATAATGCTCTGGGAGGAGGCTACCAGTCATGGGCTGTGCTGAGCTGGGAGAGCTGCTTGCTGAGATGTGTGTGGGGTTGAAGGCTGCTTTGGGGGTAAAAATCCTTCGTGGTCCAACCCTGGCTCAGTGCTCAGCCAGGAGATCTGCAACGGGCAGGGCTGAGTACCTGGGACTCCATCAGGTAAGGAAGCCTTTGTCTGTCAGCTCTGGTTTCCTCACTTACCCATTGGTAGCTGGGCAGATCTTGGCACTAAGGGGAGTCCTGGGGCCACAGACCCTCCTCTCTCCCTGGTGGTGACATTGATGTAAGATCTCAGACACTTTGGTGGGTGTGAGAGATCCTCTGAGCTGCAGGCTGCAGTGGAGGTGGGTTTGCAGATGATGCATCTCAGGAAGATGAAGTGGGGTTGTGGGAGCTCAAGTTATCTGACTGAAAGCTCATCAAAAGCCCATTTGGGTATCCTTGGACCGTGCGGCGCCTTGTGAAACAGATGTCCTTGAGCACAAGCTGAAGGCAGGCTGTCGTGTCCCAGATCCCACAAGCTGGCTGTTACTGGCAGGCTTATGCAAGCAGAGAAGCACGCGTGCCCCCTTTTTCCATGAAAACCTCCTAAAGAGGTCACGCATGCTCGGATGCAGAACAGGGAGCAAGGACTGGCACAGAGCACAGCACCTTCAGCACAGAGCTGCAGCCTCTGTCCTGCTTATTATCACCTGCCTGAGGCTGGCACATCAACCTGCACTGGGCACAGGGATGCAGAAGCATATAGAGGTGCTCAGAGCACAGCTGTGTACCCAAGGCTCATCCACAGGGCTGGGGAAGGCTGCAAAGCCCTGGCTTTGGCGGCAGGAGGGCGGAGGTGAAGTCAACTCATCCATCTCTGCTGCTCGCAGGCTGGTCCCCAGGGAAGCACAGGCTTTGGCAGCTCTAAGTGGGGCTGGAGGCGGATGCAATTCTGGAGAACAAGATTCCCATGCAAAACCTTAAGAAAAAAAAAAAAATACTGAAGTTCTTGGCTGAAAGGCTTGTTTAAAGATCTCATCTCTGACAGAGGAAATAACATCTTAATTCGTTCCCTTGCTGCTGCCTCCCAACACATCTCTTTGCAAGTGCTCGATTCCCAGAGGAGCACAGGCCATTAGTTCTGCCAGGAAACAAGCTGGGGATGAGGGTCTTTTGTTAGAGGATCTGATACCCACCTGCATTGTATGCAAAGCGCCCCCCTGTGCAGCCCCACCAGTGTGTGTTTGGGTGGATGCCAGGCAAAAATAGATCTGTTTTTCTGCCTTGGCTATCTTTCTTTTCTGAAGCTGTGGTTTCATTTTTGGGGTGGTTTGGGTGATGCTTCTTGCCTGCTTTGATGCCCTGGGTACCCCAGCATCCCTAGGGCTGTTGAGAGAGATTTCTGCATGAGAAAGGATGGAGTGGCTGTGCTGGAGAAGTGTTACAATGCTGTGGGCAATGGGGCAGGGGTTATTTAATGAGTGACACCCCAACACCATCCACAGTGGGGAGGTAATGGCAGAGCACCAGAGCTGCCCCATCCCTGAGCCAAAGACCCACTGCTGTCCTCCTGCAGCAATATGGCATGGGCAGCAGAGCCCACACTCACCAGCGTGCCCTCGTGTCATCGTCACCTCTTCCAGCATGAAGAGCCCCGTCTGAGTCATCCCCCAGCTAAATGCAGTGTGTGGGCTTGTGCAGCGTTAGGCTGTTCATCCTCTACTTGCTGCAGCCTGACACTGGGTAGAACAGCTATTCATCAGCACAGGGATGAGGCGAGATGGATGTCCTATGCTGCAGCGTGAGCTTTGCTCTCCTCCCACCCACGGGACCGGAGTGGTCCAGCGTGGACGACTGAAGTGCTCACTGCCTGGAAAGCTCGAGAGATCTTGAGAGAAATATGGACTTGTGCTTTGCACCGAGTGACTTCACGCTCCTGCTCTACAAGTGCTGGAGCCTCTGTGGAGTGCAGGCTCTTGAAAATGTTTCCACCACGTGTGTCACAGCAGCTCCAGGGAGAGGAGTCACGCAGTGGTGACGGCAGCATCTCGCGGCTGCTGATGTTCGGTCTTTCCGGTGGCCTTGGGGCTGTGCTGACCACAGTGGCCATTGGTTTTCTCTTTGGTGCCTATCCTGCCCTGGCTCTGCTGCCTTCCTCCTGCCTGTGGCTTTGCCATGTGCAGCTCTTGCAGGTGCACGTGCCTGGCTGATGAAGGGCCAGGAATTGTTGGGGTATATATATTTTTTTTTTCAGCTCTCAAGTAACTGAAGTGTCTTTGTGGAGTTTAGCAGCCCTCTTTGCATATGAAATAGGTCTCCAGAGAGCAAATCTAGAGTGAAATGTTTCTCCTTGTGACTGACACCAAGCTCTTTCTGCTAATGATGTTTAAAAGCTTTTTGCCTGTCGGCTGCATGGTCACCTGTTCCTGCACCTTCAGTGCAGTGTGGTGGCACATGTGCCAGCTGACCTGGCTTCCAACCCCGAGCTCCATCACCACATTTGCAGGGATCAAGCTAACAACACCGTGTTGTTGAGGGCATTGGAGGACAGCTTGTCATGGGGGCTGCTACCTTCCCAGAAGCAAAGCACATTTTGCCATCAACCCCTAACCAGAGTGGCTTAAGATGGGGAAATTCTAGCAGCAAGTATTTTCTGCTGCAAACCCTTATGTTGCTCCAAGGAAGCTGGGAAGCACCAAGGGACCAGTGGTCCATCCATGCATGTGCTCTACTAGTGGGAAATGGGCTGACACCTTCCTGTGTGAGGGGGCAGCTGCGCTGGTGATTGCCTTGTTACACAGATAGGTTTCTGGTTTTGACAAACTGTTCTAGGAAATGTAAGAAAGCAGGACTTCTTGAGGGCTGTTTTCCAACAAGGACTTGTGTTCCTGGTACAGAAGAGCTGGGCTTTGCTGTGCGTGTGCTTTCACGTAAGCAGATGACCCACTTGTGCTGCATTACCACTGCTTGCAGCCAGCCCAGAGCTCCTGCAGCTCCTCCAGCCTCTTCCCCCCCCCTGCAGGAAGGTTGCTCCAGGATGGGACTGGGGCTCTGAACACCAGAGCTGCCCTCACTGTGTGTGTCACCCACAGACTATGCCCTTCAGCCCCAGGGTTCCCCACCTGGTGCCTGGGACACCTGGAAGGAACGCAGCTTGCTCCCAGCACTTGCCTGTTAACACTGCAGCAGCTGGGACCAGCCAGCCCTGTGGGGCTGGAAGCATCCACTTTGGTGTTTGTTGGCAGCAATTATGCAGCACAGTGGTGATGGCTGGACAAGGGGAGCTGTCACGCAAGGGCATAGCATGGCCCTGTGTCCCAGGACACTGTGTCCCTTTGCTTGTTCAGGGGTGGCCTCGTGTCTTGGCACTCACGACATCACTGGCTGCCTTTCCCTGCGTGAAGGAGGGCTTCTTGTTGTCACAGCTCATCCTCACTGAGCTCTTCCTATTGTGGATGCCAGTGGTGGCATGGGGGCTCCAGGTGCTGTGAAGGTTTAGTTTTGGCTTGTGCATCTAGAGCATCTGTGCAAGGACAGGCAGCGTTTTGTAGCTACTGAAGTGTCAGCTCTGTGGGGTATTTTCCTTGTTGGTGGCAGGCTGGGCTGCTCATGCTTTTTGGCTCTTCAAGTCCAACCCTGGTGGATGTAACCCCCTCCAGCTGTGTGGGGAGTCCTGCCCATACAAATATGTTGCCAACAGCACAGCTGGGAACAAATGCACAGAACTCAGTTTCAAATGGTGTGGCTTTTCAACCCCATCAAACAGCTTTATTCACACAAACGTCTCTTAATTTACAAAGCCTCTGCCACTCATACACATCAGGGTATCCACAGTGTTCAAAACTTAAATAGAAGGTCTCATACCAACCCAAGTAAACCAAGTACAAAAAATATTTATATAAAGTTGTTCACACATAGGTCCTAGATCACCAGCTTATGTGCAAGAAAAAAAAAAAGGGAAGTAATACAGATTCATTTACCAAGTATTATTAACTTTACTTTGGAGTCTGGGTTTAAGCCTTCTGCTGTCAATGAGGAGGGGGTGTCCCCGTGCCCCACAGGTGGGACGTGGCACTGTCACACTGCAGCATGGAGCATGCAGCTCGTGTTCCTCCCATGGCAATCAGCAGGCTTAAACCCAGCCTCAGTACTGCATACAGAGGAGACATACGACGCACACAACGGAGGATTTCCACAATGATGGTAAATGCTTGTTTAAAATCTTATTGCTCCAGGAAGGCTCTGGGAGCCTCTGATATGTGAAGGAGCTGGGTCCTGAGGAGTAAAGGAAGACCACAAGGGTAACTCTTATCTGGCACTAGCACCATTAAGCCTCAAACACAGCAGCACAGGGGAGCTCACCTAACCCCTCTGCTCTCCACTCCACAGACTGATGCTGCCTGCAGAGTCCAGCACACCCACATGGTGCTGACAGCCAGCCCTGCTGCAGGCTGGTGCAGATAATGTGTTCCCCAATCCTCCTGAGGCTTGGCTTGTTCCCCACCCCCCAACCCTCCTCCCTCTTGTAAACAGCAGTCAGAAGTAAACAGTTTCATACAATCACCCCCAGCGCTGGGCTCAGCTCGGACCCCACAAAGCCCAAAGGGCAGCAGGAGGGCACTCAGATCCCCCCCATAACAGCAACCCCCTCCATACCTGGATGCTTTGCTCCAGCCAGGAGATGGAGTTGCCCTGGTCCCAGCCTTGGAGTTGATATCCTAAGCTTGAACATTCCCAGCGATGCAGCCCAATGCCAAAAACTCCCTCTGCAGGGTTCAGCCTGCAGAAGATGCTCAACAGTTCCAGGTGGGGAGAGACACCCGATGCTGCCACCTCATTCCACAGAACAAGTTTGGTCTGGGCTAAAGCAATTGGAGGAGAGGTGCTAGGAGCTGTAAACACAAGGCAGCTTCATCTACAGTCCAGGAAATCGAGCACAAACAGCAGCAAAATCATCAGGGAGAAATGCTTTGAAAAGGGCAAATTAACAGGGAAACATCCACGTTGGCCAAAGGCTGGCAGCCTAGGGCTTGTCCTCGGAAGTGTTTGCTAACTCCTAAGTAAGGCACTACGGTCTAGCTCGCTAACATCAAGCTGCTTTACAAACACATCTGAAATGCAAAAGCTGAGGTGAAGATGTGTGGTTTGAAGATGGCCCGAACCTGCAATGGGCCAGAAGGGGGTACTTCCCCAGTGCTCACCTCCCACCTCCATGTCCTGCATGCAGACCTCCTGCTGGGAAGCTCACTTCTCCCAGCAAGGGGCCCTTCCAGAAGAGTAAACCATGAGCAGGATGGGGTGGGGGTAGTAGAGCCTTCTGCATGCACCAGTTCATGCCATGGATGGGTTGCAACAGTCAATAAGCAACAAAAGCTCTACTGGGTGGAAGCACAAAGGTTTGGAGTAGGGCACTAACACTGTACTGTGAACAAGAGAGATCAGTTCTCAGCTCACCACGGCCCTTGGGGCAATGCTAGGCATGAGTGGGGCCATCTAACCCTGCCCAGGGTAGGGGCAATGCCAACAGCTGTGGGGACATTGGGATCCAAGGGACCCTCTTCTGCCTGAGCCCTGGTGCTGTGGGGGCTGAACAGTGGCAGTGATGCTACCCTCCCAGACTGATGCTGACACTGTCAGCTCAGCAGGGAGCATTTTAGCTTGTCCAGGCCCCAGAGGTTGAAAAAGAGGTGGTGCTGTACACTGCATTTACAGTGAGCAATGTCTGAAGACAAGCAGCACAGCCCAGAGTGTTAGTGTTGCTACAATACAGGCAAAGAGACTGAGTGTTAACTGATCGGCCTGAGGTTCCAGTCTCCTTACCTGAGCTGTATTGACTACAACCAAGCGACTCCAACCAGCCTTTTACTTTATTGAGACAGTTACCTAGAAGGAAGAAGTGTTTTACAGCAGGCCAGAATCCAGCCCACGAGCCACTGAGGCCAAACCTCCTCTCCCAAGCACCATTCCTCACAACTGAAGTTTGGCATCAAATGGCTCAGAGTAGTGGATTGTTTTCCTTTTCTCTTGTACACAAAGTGTACCACACACTGCCCCTGCGCTCCGTGCCCCTAACAGACATCACTATTAACACCCAGATTAGGGAGACAAAGGTCTGCCCCTTGCAGGGCAGTGCTGACTCCCCAGTGCCTTTCCAACTTATGCTACTCTATACCTACCAGCTGTTTCTAGTGCAGGCAGCATGCACCTACCCAGAAGCTGCCTGGCATTGAAGACATTCTACTACTTGCAACACACGCTCTGTAAGATTCACCTCTAAAGCAATGCATTCCAGCTGCAAACCCATTTCCTAGGTGGAAACAATAGCTTTAAATCCCAACCTGTGCCTGGCTGAGCTCAGCAATCCTGTTTGGCAGCAGACCACAGCTGTCTATTAACTCCTATTAAGCCCAACTGCAGAGCAGGGGGACATGGGGAGGGCTGGGCAGGGCAGCTCTGTGCTCTGGATCTCATTCAATAGTCTGGAGCACGACAGTGCCCAGCCTGCGCCCCTGCAGCCCCTCTGTGCCCCCAAAACACTGCTCACCAACAAAACAAACACCCAAACATTTCACATTGCCAGAGATCCTGAAGACCAAGGATCTTTTGTATTGTCACATTCCCTTATCTTCGCCGCCCCTCGTTGCACGTAATAGAGATGATGGGTCCCTGGTAAATAAACCTGCAGGAAAAACAAGAAAGGAGAAACAGAGATCAGATATGCGCATGGTTTTGTCCCAGTTTCTGCAGCAAGACTTTGCTCCCCTTAGCCTCCTTTAATTAATTAATTATACTGCCTGTAGGATGTTAGTTCTTCAGTTAGGAGATGCTGTGCACTGGGAGAAGATGCAATCAATCACTGAATTGGGAATTGGGGAACTCTCCACACATAGCAGGGATACTTAGGTTCACTATTAGGAAGTTGTTCTTTACGATAAGGGCAGTGAAGCAGTAGCACAGGCTGCCTAGAGAGGAGGTGGGTGCCTTATCCCTGCAGGCACTCTGGTCAGACTGGGGGGCTGCGAGCACTGATGGAGCTGTGGGTGTCCCTGTGCACTGCATGGGGTTGGACCAGATGGCCTTTAAGGGTCAATTCCAACTCAAGCAATTCTACAATCCTTGTGGCTCCCTGCCAACTCAGTATTCTATGATTTTTTAAGCAAATTTTAACTAAAGGAATGGGCTGCAAAGTAAAGCCCCAGCACTGTCTGTGATGGCCCTGTCCTTAAGGACCTGTATGTGAGCGCAGCAGAAAGACAGAACACACCATGACTTTGGGGTCGCACTGAACCTCTCATCCTGTGCGTCAGCAGCAGCTCAGGCTCTTGAGTGCTCTGCAAGAGGCTGCTAAAATCCACTTGAATGCAACCGAGAGCAGTGGTACACCCCGTGCAGCCCCTGAGGATGCTCAGAGCCTGGATTTTGGGGCAGGAGGGGCAACCCTGCACTACACTCAGGGAAGGCAGAGCTCAGCTCTGCACAGAAGCTTTTTTTCTCCTGGTTAAACAATGCACAAACCTTCAAGCCTAAGGCAGCATGCTGCTTATTGACATAGTTTTCCCCTAACTAACAACAGTTGAATTTTCCCCCAAACTTCAGTTCTGGAGACTATGGAGAAAATGGGGAATTTGGTTTCCCCTTCACAGTGCTGGGAGCACAACCATGTCACCCCAGCTCCATGGACAAATTGTGTCATGGCCACTACCCAGCAAATGATTCAAATCCCTTAGTCCCAGGAAATCTCATTAAAGAAATCCACGCCTGCAGAATCCACTTTTAAAGGAAGAGGCCAGGGCTGCCTGCACTCAGCTGGGATCAGAAAGAAGCTGTTCTGTGTCTTGTGGGAGGCACTGGGACACCAGGGCAGGAGCAACAGAGTGAAGAATTGCCCGGAAGATTCCTCCTGTGGTGCAGCTCCATCAGCAAGTAGGGCTGTGCTATTGCTATTCATGCCTCCCCAGAGCAGTTCAAGGAAGATCCTGGTCTGACTGCTTCCAAGCTCGCTGCATTGACGCACGTTGTTTCTGGGCTTGTTCAAGAGCTTTTAATACCCCTGCTGACGCCACTTCCAGTTTTAATCAGCTCGAATGTTCACTCAGCATCAGCAGAACACGAACCAGCAGCCCACAGCCCTCACGCAGCACTGATGAGGATGACACTAACGTGCAGCTTACAGCAGATGGAGATGAAAACGTGGTCCTCAGGGTAGCAGAGGGTCTCACCAAGGCATGAAGACATAAGCTGGCAGCTCCTTGTACTCACATTTTCCAGCCCTGTGTGGGGATGCAGGTTGCAAGGGAGGAGGGCTGAGAGCCCACTGTACCCATGTCCTTCCACAAACACATGTGCAGGGCTCCTTGGCAGCTCCCTTCAAGCCAATCCCAGAGCCTTCCCTGAAAGGATGTGGGACTCACAACACCAAAGTTCCTCCACACATTGCCAGAGGTGCAGCCATCCAGCCCTGCCCAGGGCTCTGCTCCTCTCCAGATGGATGTGACACTGCCTGAAGGATGTTGCTGCCCTGCAGGGTGGCCCAGAGGTGCTGCAGCTGCTGCTACAGCCAAGAGGAACTGACCTTGCTGTCATCATCTTATGGCTTGCTCTGTCCATGCCACGACTGAAAACCATGCCAAACACATTTCCCTGACGTGCTGATGAGGTCCCTTCCAGCAGCATCAGGGCACTTTTACTGATGCCCTACCAGATACAACCTACCCAAGAACAGCAGCCTTCTCCCTGGCAGCTCACAACCAGAGCCATTTCTGATGTGCACAAATCCCTGCCCTTCAGAGGTGGATTCCTACAGGTCAGCTGTTTACTGACAGAGCTCAGGTGTCTGTGCAGATGTGCTCATCAGAGAGAGGTGCCATTGCACAGATGAGCTTGCTCAGTATCAGCCCTGCTGCACTATTATTTCTATGATTTTGCAGATGCAAACAGAACAAGGCAAATGCCAGCAGTTACTTTCAGCTGACACCAGAATGTGTCAGAACACAGGGCAAAGCAGGGCAGCTGAGGGCAGCACCTCTGCCCAGCCCAAATCACTCTGCATTCAGATTCCTGCCTTCTATCCCTAAAATCACACCTATTTTACTAGAGTATGATTTACAGAACAAGCTGCTTTCCACACCAAACAAAACCACTGCAGTTTGGCACCTTACAGAAATTAAAAGTACATATTTTCTTACATGTCAAATTGTGGTAGTAGGTGATGCTGCCCCTTGCTCCCTTTGTAATCCCCTGCTTTCTCTGCTCAAGATTAGTGAGCAGCACACAGACCCCCATTGCACCACACACCTCAACAACTTCTTGGGTGTGCTGTGTGAAGCCAGGTGCTGCATGATCTTCAGGGGTCTTTTCCAATTCAGGACATTCTATGCACTTACGGATCTATGAGCTTGGCTAATGAGTGCCCAATGCATCCTGCACAAACACTGCCTGGGAAGGCAGCTATGAGAATGAAGGGCATAGACATTGACACCCACAAAGGGACCAGGGGAAGAGGAGATGAGGGCAGAGCTGCAAGAAACCAACCCAGAAAGGAGGGGACTGCACCTGTGTCTGAGCTCCAACTGCTGATGGGTGAATGGAGGTCCCTGGGGAGGAAAGGCAGCAAGGCACAGCAAAACAACTCCAGATCCAGCTGCTTTCGAGTTTACAGGGAGCGTTCCCGTATCAGTAAGGAGGGGTGAAATACTGCTTTTGCTGCAGTCAGGACTGGGCTGTCACATGGCAATCAGGAGACTATCAGCAGGTACTCAGCACAACCCAACCACTGATGTGTAAGAAAGGCATTTGACCCTTTGCCCAAAAGGCACATTTGTGGGAACAGCAAACCCAGGCTTTGGATAAACCCATACTGCAAGAGATGGGGAAGCAACACTCAGAAAAGAAAATGTTATGCCCAGGGAATGCCACCCACCTCTGCAGGACACGCTGCTGCCTCGGGGTGCAGGCTGTGATAAGCTCATCTCACCCCAGGCTCAGCTGAAAGCAAGGGCAGAAGCACAGTGCTGGCTGGGAGCTGACACCAAATCCTTCTGTTTTGCAAGATAACAGAATAAGAGGCACAGTGAGCAGCAGGTCTGTGCAGCATCCGCAGCAGGACTGAAGCACAATCAGAAGAGGTGAAAATCTGATTTCCAGGATCAAGGTTACAGTTTTCCAGGTCACCATGTGGGCCAGGTCTGCACAGAGGCTGAGGCTGTTGGGAAGGGAACCTCGCTGCACAGCCCTGCACTGCACGCAATGCCCAAACTAAGCAGGGAGAGGTTACTTCAGTTTCCCGGTCAACTTAAATTACCTGAGAGCAGAATTCAGGCCCTGCCCTAAATCCCATTTTAAGCTTCTCAAGCTTCCGACTTAAGCTTTGCATTAAATGAAAGCCCCACAGTAGCCAGAGGTAGGCTGGTTTGAACATCCGCATACACGATGCATTACGGAGCCCTATAGGAAAAGCACACAGACAATTCCACTGCCCTACAAAAGCACACCAGAGGAATGCTCCTTGCTGCACAGTGCACGGCTGTGGGTTTGCAGGGAGCATACGGCCAGTGCCAGGCTCCTATCTGGGCCACGCTGCCTTATGTAAGCACAGCATCTCCACTGCAGCTGCGTCACCCCCAGACAATCGGTGGCAGCTCATGGCGGACGGATGGAGGGGGGCTGAGAAGGCAGCTGGGTTTTATGCAAACAGCCCCAGGGTAGGAGTGTCCCCTCCATGTTTGTTATCCCTGCATGTACTATCCTGCAGATATGCGCAGGATGAATTTTCCCCGGAGGGCACAGGCTGGTTGCATAACTCAGCAGCATCATGTCAGCAGGCGAGTGATCGCAGATGGCAGCAGCAAAGCCTGACCCTCACTGCACAGCCACAGCTCTGAGCAGGCACATCCCTGCCCTGCTAATAGCCTCATCCCTCGCCCCAGGGTGCAAGGTGGGGTGCCCTGCTCTGCATCCAGGACTTCTTCATGCCTGAAGCGCTTGCATTCCTACAGGTCACAGCCCTGCTCTAATCCCCACCCCATGTTCACACCAGGACCAGCACCAAACCCCAGCCCCTGGCAGACTCTGTCACATCACATCAATTACTTGCAGTGGAAATTTTGAGGGATTTAGTGCATTTTGTGCTAGGAGAGCAAAGGAGGTAGCTTATGGACAATCTGGACAAACCAGCAGGGATGACACCAAACCTACCAAAGGGGCTTCCCATTTCTGTATTCCTGTTTCTTTGGGGTTCACTTTGGGGGATACATCCAGCACTTCCTATAGAAAGTAAGGGTGCCAGGAGTTGGATAAGCCCCAGCAGCCCATCCCCTAAAGGCACAGTCCATACTGGCTGCTGGAGTGCAGCAGTCCCAGGCAGAGGACCACCAAGAGAAGCTGGAGGCAGCACAGAACCTATGTGGCACAACACAAAGCTGTGCGTGCAGACTCTGTACGGATGGCACATCATCCCTCATGAGCTTGGGAACACTCAGATGAGCAGCAAGGAGAATTTGGAGCAACGCCTGCCAAAGTGCCCTCTCCCTCCCCACTGCACCCTGCAGTGGCAGTAAATTGTTCACAGCCATTTGACCACAAGGCTGACAGCTGGGTGTTTGCCAATGGCAGCAGCAGTTCTGGCTCTCTTTGCCCTCTTGCATCTGTGGTTCACTTTGATCCAGAAGGATCTGTTTGGTTTCTGGTAGTAAGAATCAGGGAGTAGCACCGTCCAGCTCTGAAGCAGCCTGTGAAAGACCAGGGCTGGAAAGATATCTGCCTCACCATGTAATCTGTCATTTTTCAGTTTCATTGAAGTGTTTGGCCAGGAGAATCCCATAGTAACAGCTCTTGTTTACAGACAGCTTTACCATAAAGGCAGCACTGCTCATTCCTTTGGTGTCACTGCTGAGTGACAGCCAGCTATCCCACATCCGTGGGTGTCCTTCCAGACCCCCACTAAGGACCAGGATGCAGAAGAAGCCAAGTTCAGGACTATTTAGGACCTGAGCCTGGGGGAAAAGGGGGGGGACGCTGCATGAACTAAGCTCCATCTGAGCACAGATGTTCTGTAAGCTTCCTTCCTGAGCAGACTCAGGTCTCAGCTCGGATGTTAAACACCAAAGCATCCCACTGGGTTTATGCAACTGTGCTTGGCACTGAAGTCCTGCCTTTAGCAAGGAAATGAAATGAGATGGATGCACATGCTTTGCAAATGAAAGCAAGGAAAACAGTCTTGTCTGTGCCAGAACCCACCTGCCACTCAGCTCAGTGCCTCCCCAGCAGGCCAGCCAAGACCTGAGCTGCCCTGCCCTAATATCAGTGGGGAAGGAGCACCATGTTTGAGAGGCAAGAGCTCTCATAGCTTTGCTGAAATCACAGCACATGGAAGAGACAGAAGGAGCAGCTCCTTCCCTGCCTCTGGAAGGGACCAACACACCCAAAGCTGATGTCGGGGTGTTCAACGTGCTTCCCCAGCCCAGACCCAAGGAGCAGAGCTGTGCCTGGGCTTTGGGCAGCACCAGGACATGCAGCTGCTCATCTACTCCTCACCTCTACTGTACTGCTGCAACAGAATAGGTGGGAAAAAAACCACCACTCAGAAACAGAGCTCTGATGAGTCACTATAGAAATAGCTCTGGGAACATAAAGGACTCCATTGTGTCACTACAAAGTGTATTAACAGGCTGGACAGCAGACAGAATAATATAAAAACTACCGATCACTTACCCAGCTGCAAAGCACAGTAGTGCTCTGCCCTGAATTTAAGCAGCACATGTAACCTGGTCCATTCTGGTTTCAAGCTCAAAGGCATCAGGTCGATCCTGCGGGTTAGCAGCCAACATGTCTTTCAGGAGCTGCTTGATCCCCTCAGACATGGAAGTCCTGCGTTTCTGAGGGATGTGCAGCTCCATCTTTGGGTTTTCTAGCAGCGCTTCCCCAACGGGCACAATCTCAGTCCCCTGCTTGATGTAAGTCCCCAGCAGCTCCCTCTTGGTCTCAGCATCAATGAAGGTGAGCCTCTCAATCATGGCCCAGATGATGATACCGAGGGCGAAGATGTCAGCCTTGGCAGTGTAGTGCCCCTCCCAGACCTCGGGGGCCATATAGAAATCAGAGCCACAAGCCGAAGACAGCCAGTACTTGTTCACATTCACATTTTTGTTCTCGTGGCCACCTTTCTTGCCTCGAGCTGTCAGACCAGCACAGACCTTGCTGAGCCCAAAGTCAGCCACCTTGAGAACCGGGGTGCCGGACTTCTCTGTGATCAGGATGTTGTCTGGCTTCAGGTCCCGATGGACGATGTGGTTCTTGTGCAGGAAGGCGATGGCACTGGTGAGCTGCAGCATGAAGCTCCTGTTGGTCGCAGGGTCGGGCCGTCGTGAGAGCACGTACTGGTTGAGGTCCCCCCCCTCACAGAACTCCATGACGAACCAGAGGTAGCAAGGCTCCTCCGCGTAGCCCAGGATCCTCTCACCTTACCAAAATAGAACAAAGAAAAACCAAAGAGTGAGTTCTGACAGGCACGTTGGAAGGTGTTCACACTAACTCAGAACAAGGGCAAGACACGAGGCTGCTTTATGCAGATAGTAAAGGTTTTAGGAACGAGATGCACTGGGACTGGCTGCCCAGGGAAGCAGTGGAGTCACCCACACACCTAACACTGCCAGGGCCAGAGTCCTGCAGCTGCTCTCAGGCCAGATGCATGCTGCTTAAGCACCGTGTTTGTGCTGAGAGAGCTCTGCCACTTTCCTACAGCTCTAGTGAAACACCAACAGGTCTTCAAAGAGAACAAACTGGAAGCTCAAGTAGCCAACTATGTTTAAGTGCAATCTCAGCCATGCTGATGGATCCAACTGCCTCTACCACAGTCAGCAAAGCACAGGCAAGTCTGAGTGTTTGGAAACCACTTAAAGAACTCCACCTACTTTACCACGTTATTTTTTTCTCTCTTAGCAAAGGCCTGCAGACCATCTGGGAAAGCAAACTCCCAGCAGCAGGTAGAGCCAAGCACTACCAGCACCACTGAGCCCCAGGCTCTCTGGCATCCACAGTGGTCAGCGATTGGTGTGGGTGGGAATACTGGTTATTTGCACAAACAGTCTGTATCCATGGCTACTGCTATGGAAATGAAATCCTGCACAACACAAAGATTTGGCTGCACCTCCCTGCCCTCAGCAGGGCTGGGATGTGGGGGGGAGAAGGGGGGCAACAGCTCCCACCTGGGGTCTGCAAAATGCTGAGCACAAGGGGGTCAGGGAGCTCCTGTCAGCCAGCAGCACGAGGAACCACAGCAGTGCCATGTGCACAGAGCTGGGAGCATCACAGCACAGCACGCAGGTGGGAGGAGACAGCATTTCCCAGCAGCCCCATCCCAGGGGGAAAGCAGCAAAGACCCGCTGGCTGTGACATGCCGAGGTTTGGGCTCAGCATAACAAAGGCTCAGATTCAAGATGCGGCCCCACACCTCTGCAGGCACAGGGAGGACGCCGCTGACCCAGCAGTAGCTGTGAGCACCGTGCACTTCACTTTGGGTGGAGCACTGCTGGGAGAGGTTGAAGCCAAGAGTAATATTTCCTCATTTTCTTTCTATAATGTGAAAGTGTTTGAGTTGTTAAATCATCTTCCTGCCTTCAAAACAAACAGCTTTAAACATAAAGAGCTGGCAAGTCACTTCTTAAAGATGAGAGTTTAGCAAGACAAGCTGCCAAGAGCTGAAGGGATACAGACAAGAGCCCAGAGCTCCGTCACCAAGTGTGCATCCCTCCATCCCCACAGCCACCACCCTGCAGCCTGTCCTGGGAGCTCATTAGCAGCTTGCTAATTTGCTTAGCATCAATGGGAACAACCTAATGCCAGCAGAACCAGGCTCCCACTCCCCAGTGCTGCATAGAACCTCTAACTCCCACTGTGCAAAGATGCTGTACTGGAGAGAAGGGAGCCAGCAGCACGAAGCCAGGCACCTGGACCCATGGGCGACGTGCCACGAAGCACAGCCCCAGCTCTGCTCACTGAACAAAACAGCTCTGCCCATCACTGCTGTGTGTCAGGAGCAGCTAACAGTACACAGAGCCATGTACAAGACCTGGAGGTGTGCACACATCAGGGCACTGAGCACATTGCTCAAGTCCATACCTCTCCTCGAGGCTCAGCACACTGCGCTGCCTTTTTGCATTCTGCCCCAAATGAGACGTGGCATAATCAATTTAACACGATGGAGATGATGACTGAGCACTGTAGCTGCAACCTGGCATAGCCTGGTATCCCGACAGTTACGCTCCTGATGTAGAAAGAGCCTCAGATTAATCCCCCCCACACCCTGAGCCGGGCGCCTTGGCACAGCATCTGTGCAGCCTGTAAATAGCCACGCTGCGGTCGTGCAGAATGGCACGGCTGCACGGCCACGTGCCCACTGCTGCCTCGGCCAGGAGTGCTGCAGGCAAGAGGGGAACATGCACAGCTCAGGGACTGTCCTGGCTCTGCTGTAATAATATTTATCAGTATCAAACCCAAAGATGGGGAAGGTGGTGAGCAAAGCCTCTGCCCCTGCCTGGGACAGGCAGATAACGCAGTTTGGAAGGCAGGCACGAAGAGGGAGAAGCTGAAGTGGGACTGAGGCAAGCAAAGCTCTCCCAGCAGCAGGGGAGGTAATTCTCCAAGGAATAGAGGGCTCTCCACCTGCCTGCAGATGGGTGGGGAGCACTGACAGCCCCCCAGAAGCTTTCTCTGAGGCATGCTGGCTAAGTGGGGCAAGGGACCCCAACCACAAGGAGCTCTCCATGCAGTGGGCAGGCACCCACCCCACAGGGGTGCATAAGGAATAGGGTAGTGCCCTTTTTGGGGACACTGCCTTGGATGTGAATGTGAGGAGTGAAAAGAAGCCAGGATCAGGGCCATGTGGGGACACACACAGGTCCAGACACGTTCTCAAGGGTTTGGGAGCTGTGGATCTGCTCAGAGGGCAGCTCTGCAGCCTTCCACAATGTCCACACCGAGGACACCAAGCCCCCAAGGGGCACAGGAATCTGGAGAGGCACTGGGAGCACCCAGGAGATGGGGCTCCAGTATTTTTCCACTTCTTCACTACATGTTGGCAGAGCTAGGCCTGACAGCAGCCAAAGGAGCAGAGGGAGGGAGCACTTTGGAGATGTCACCATCACAGTCATTGGTGGTGGCAGGAGGTGACCCCAGCAGCCGCGTGATGCTGCCAAGGGGACCCAGGAGAAGGTGGCAGCCGTCCCTATACAGCAGAATGGTGGAGAAACAGGGATGGTAGAGCACAGAGAACGGTCCCAAAGGTGTCAGAGCCATGGGAACACAGAGGGCACCACAGAAGTGGGGTCACAGCCTCAGGGTGCTTGGAGGAGGTGGGGCTGCACAGGGGAGGGCTGAGGGCATGCACAGGGCTGTGGCAGTGGGCAGAGCAGCAGAAATGGGGGTGTGATGGAGGCACAGAGGGATGTGCCCGAGCCAGGAGGTGACAGTGGGAACATAAGGTTGGAGGGCTGCAGAGGGGGAAAGCAGGAGGAGAGGGGTCCCTGCGAGCAGCAGAGGGAGGGAGAGAATGGGGTCAGGAGACACAGCACAGTGCAGACAATGCAGGGCTGAGTGGGGGAAAAAGTTGTGAAGTAAAAGAAACAGAGAAGAGCTGAGCAAGATGGGGGCTGACTGGGGAAAAGCGGGGGGAGAGAGGAAGGGCTGCTTGAGGGCAGGAGGGATTTAAGCAATGGGATGACAAAGAGGGGGAGCGAAAGAAAGGGGATACAATGAGAGCACCCATGGGGGGGGGGTCTCCAGAGCTGGAAGGCCAGGAGAGGACACCGGGGGAGCCCAGCAGCCTATAGGAACCGCGGCAGAAGGGAACCCCGAAGAGAGGGGGGCACAGGGACGGACCCGGGGTGTGAAAGCCGAGGCAGGAGGGAGCCGGGGCGGGGCGGTACCTTTGAGGGAGGTCTCCACCAGCCGCAGGTAGAGCTGGCTGCGCTTGTTGCCGTGGCTCATGCGCTGCCCCAGGCCGTGCCGCTGCAGCACGCACTCCTCGAAGCGCACCACGTTGGGGTGCTGCCGCCTCAGGCTGGTCAGCGCCCAGAACTCGGCCAGCGCCAGCTCCACGTTCTCGGGGGCGTCGCAACGGATCCTCTTCACCGCCAACCGAGCTCCGCTGCGGCTCGACACCGCCTCGTACACCACGCCGTACGCCCCGCGGCCGATCTCGGCCAGCAGGCGGTACCGAGGGGCCCCCGCGCCGCTACCGCCCGGCCCCGGGCCCGCCGCCGCAGCCTCCTCCTCTTCCTCCGCCACCACCACCGCCGCCGCCATGGGGCCGCGCCGCGCAGCCCGCCGCCGCCGCGCCGCTCTTTGTGTCCCTCGGCGGCCGCCGTCCGCCGTTTCCATGGCAGCGCCGCGGGGGGAGCCCCGCTCGCGCCCCCCCCCCCTCGCCCGCCTGGCCCCGCGGAGCGCCGCGCCGGGCAGCGCCGAGCGGGCGAGGGGGCACGCGCCGCCGCATCGGAGGGCGGAAAAGCGCGCCCTGCCGGCCCCTTTAAGCGCTCGGCCAATCGCGGCGCGCCGGGCCGTACCACCGCGCTGCCGGGGGGGGAGCGCGGCGCGGGGCGGGGCGGGGCGCATCCCGCGGGGGGGGAACGGCGGCGGAGGCGCGGGGCCGGCGGGGCCGTAGGGGCGGGCGCGGCTGCGTGTGCCGCCTGCGGGGCTCCTCGGCGCGGAGGGCGGTGAGCGCGGCGCGGGTCCGGCCCGGTGCCCCCCCGCGGGTTGGTGCGCGCCGCGCGGCTGTAAACACTGCGGCCGTGGGGAGCGCTCCGCCCCGGCGGGGTTCGTGGCGTTATGTAACGGTGGGGATGGAGCGGCTGTGCGCGGTCGGCCCGTCCCGCTCTATACCGCCGCATCTCCGCGTTCTGGAACGCCTGCGGGGATGGTGACCCAACCCCACGCACCCCCCGGGCAATCTGCCAGCGCAGCACCGCTCTTCCCGAGGAGAAATTTCTCCTAATGCCCGCCCCGCCCCTCCCCTGCCCCAACCATTGGGGGCAGAAGCCGCTCCCGCCTCCTTTCGGGGAGCGGTGAGGTTCCCCCTGAGCCCTTTCCGCCGCACACCGCACCCCCCGCCCCGTCATCCCCTCGAAATGCACGGATGGGAACCGTGCGGTGGCTCTGCGGGCTGCACGCACCCAGCGTGGGCAGCTCCTGCGTGTGCTTCGAGCTCCGTTCGCTTTGGAAGCCCTTCACCTCCGGCAGGCGATACGGGGCCGTCACTCCTGTCCCAGCCTGCTGTCTGGGGCTCAGCGTGCGGCCGACGGCAGCTCAGCACGAGGCTGCCCCGAACGCCGCTCACTGCCGCCCTCCGTCCGCAGCCGCTGTTCCTGCGGCTGTCATCGCCCCTTTCCCCGCTCCGTATCCCCTCCCCGTCTCCCTCCTTCCACCGCTGCGGGGCCGGGCCGGGAGCAGCCTCCGGGCACAACCCGGTGCCGCTGACGCTGCGTGCCGCTGCCTCCCACCCGCTGTGCCACGCGCTTTCGTCCCCCCCCGAACCCTTTTAGAACTGATGCAGTTAAAGCAAACTTAACTTTTCTATTACCGCTTATTTCTCTTACCCAGGTGCTTAATTACCATTGTCCCAGGGAAATGTCAGCATGACTCACAGGCAGTTTCCCATTAGGAAGAGACGGATGAATATTAATTACGCTCGCAGGTGGGTGGGTTTGGTGGCAGTGCCTTTCCCAAAAGGGCTGTGTCACCCCCACACCCACCTGGACCGCAGGGACCAGAATGCGTCCAGCTCTGCGCACATAGGAAGTAATGGGGGCTGCGGTGCTTTGGGGATGGGAGAACCCCGATCTCTTCCCGCAGCAAGAGAGGTGGAGGCACCTGCTCCATCCCGTGCCCATGGGGTTAGTTCAGTCTCCAGAAGCCCCACTCCCTATGTGGCATTACCTGGGGATGGCGATGCTCCAGATGTGTGCTAGGAGCTGATCCTGCTGCCAGCATGGCTGATTTTGGAATGCTCCACACTGCAATCCCCGGGCACACACCTGGAGATGGGGCTCTTGAGTGGCTAAGGCAGGATGGGAATTACGTGCACCAGCAGGAGGTTGGGTTTTGGGAACGTGCAGGGCGTGATAGGGACTGCTGCTGGCTACATGTAATGGTTTCAGTGTGAGAACCCTCTGTGGAACCCCGTGGTGCTCAGTAGTGAGGGTGAAACCTCCCGGGGCTGCCCACACAGCACTGAGGATGCCACTGTGGTTTGCGGCTGCCTTTTGTTCTCGGCTTTGTTCTGCGCCTGCAAACCTTCAGCTGGGGGTGAAAACACACCAGAACACCACACATCCCCTGCCTGTGCCCTCATGGGGACTGAGCTTCCCCATCCCTGAAGCACTGCCATCTCCCAGCACAGCTTCTGCAGACTACATCCCCTCCATCAGCCCTGGGAGATGGGGGATGCTCGGCCCTTGCTTCACCCCTCCATACCCTGCTCCCTCGGTGCCTGGGTGAGCCAAAACCCACATCCAGCAAAACCCATGAGATGCCGCGTGCCGTCCACGTGTGGCACCCCAAAGGTGGTGGTGGCAGTGCAGGCAGCCAGCACCCAGCCATGTCCGTTCCCCTGTGCACAGGGAAGACTGAGAGCGGGCACCGCGTCCGGCAGCTGGTGCTCGAGCCAGGGAGAGAGGCAGGTTGCTGGGAAACATCCCTCTTGAGCACCGATAAAAATAGCTCCATCTTCAAGGCGAGAGGGCGGGCTGCGCTGCAGCCAGTGGGGCAGTGGGGATGGGATGGGGATGGGAATGGGAATGGGATGGGGATGGAATGGGGACAGGGTGCCTTGGTCTAGTGTGTGGGCAGTGGGGCTGTCAGGATGCAGTGCTGATGGGGCACAGTAGTGCATGGGTTGGGGGTTCCCCAGTACTGCCCATCCCCAAAGTGGGCTTAGAGATAATGCGCCCAGGGTACGGGGCTAAGCAGAGGGTGCAGGGGCTCCCTGCCTCCCACCACTACTCTCCCCCAGCCCTTTTGGGTTCATCTCTTTGGGTTTGTTGCTTAGGAGGAGTTTGGGTTTGTCCCTTGCCCTTTGGGTGGCCTCCATCCTCTGCCCAGCTTCACCATGAGGCTGGGGCTTCTCCCAAGCCTGGAATGTGAGGCTGGGGGCTCCCCATCTCCCACACCTCGGGCAGGGCTTGCGTTCAGCACCCAGCAGCCAAGAGAGACCCCTGCCTACTGCCCATGCCGAGGACCCCAATGGGGTAGCAGTGACCAGGGAGCAACCTGGAGTGCTCACACCCAATCCCTGGGGCTGCAGCGAGAGAGCCCACCAGGGCTGTGGCTGGGATGCTGCGGGGCTGATTATTCACAGCTTTCCTCGCCCCGATTGGCTCCGCAGCGCTGAGCGGAGCGGGGCCCCGCCGCAGGAGGAGACTCGGTGGCCATAAAAGCTGGCGGGCGGGCTGCCGGGCGGTGAGTACGGTGAGCACCCAGCGTGGCCCATGCCCAGCTCAGCCTGACCTGAGAGCGCAGCGGGACGGGGCGAGCAGCAGGTAGGGACGGGGTGCATGGATTTGGGGTTCCTTTCCCTTTACCTGCACGCACCTTGATGCTGGGCATCACAGCTGCTCGAGGGAGTGTGACTCAGTTTGTTTCAAAACATCCCTGAGCAGCCGTGCTGGGAGCATCTCACACTTTACTCGTTGCTTTATTGCTTTATTTCAAGATTCACACGGTCGCTGCAGGTGCCCCACTCATCCCCCGGGGGTTTCACAGCATCGCTTTGCTGGGGCTCGGGGTGATGCTGATGCCATGGCTGTTTGCTCATATGGAGATAGCACAGCCCCAGAGCAAAGCTGAGCTCAGGGAGAGGGCAGAGGGAAAGGGATGGGTGATGGCACAACGCTGGTTGTGTTGTGATTTGAAAGGTCAACGTAAGGAGAGGAGAGAGCTGCTGGGAGCAGGCTCTGCTCCTCCACAAGTGTCTGTAGGATCCCAAGCTGTCTGGGAGAACCACCCGCAGCTCGGGTGTCTGCACTGCTTGGTGACATCTCTGTGTAGAAATGCTCAGAGATACAGGGGGTGATGGCTGGGAGCAAAGCCCTCCGTGGCCGTGCTGTGCTCTGTCACCTGCTGCGCACCCAGGGCTGCTCCCCATCCCTCTGTGCTGGTGCAGCCGGGGCTGTAACCCAGAGCTGTGGTGCACAGACACACCTGAGGCTGTCCTATATCTTGGCACCAAAAACCTGAACAGAAAAGGGGTAGAGAAGGAGCGGCCGTGCAGCACACACAGGACACGGGTAGGAACCAAGAGCTACCCCAGTCTCTTACAGCTCTGCTGTGATCGTGCAGACGCATTCCTCAGGATGGATGTTCCAGGCAGAGCTCACCTCAGGGTGCTCCAGGTCCCACTCCAACCCCATTTTTCTTCCTCTTCCCTTTGTCTCTCCCCTTTTTGAGCATCTCTTTTCACTTTCACATAAAGCCCTGCCTTGCCTCCCCTTTCCCTGCCCCGTTCTCTCCTCCTCCTGCAGCAGCAGGATGGCAGAGCACCTTGGGAGCATCTGTGCTGAGGTACGTTCACATCGGGTGCACGGGGCACTGCAGGGCTGCAGCTTCCAAGCACAATAGCACAGCCAGCATTTACCTTAGCAGCAGGTGAGTCCTCTCTCCTCGCTCGGTGCCACTGAGATGAGCAGGGGCTGTCAGTGCTGCACCATGTCCGTGCCCATCCTGGTGTGATGCACTCGGGCTGTTCAGCGCAGCTGAAGAATGCAGATTTCTCGACACACGATGGTGAAGATAATTCAAATTCAAATTTAATTTAGCATGAATTAATACCGTGGCATTAACATTTCTTCATCAGCGCCAATTAGAGTACATTAGCAGACAGTGCCAAAGAATACAATAGTCTCTAATATGCGTCATTAACGTGTAACTGATCCCTCTGGGTCATGCCTTCCCACCTTGGATTGAAGCAGGCGCGGAGGCAGTGGGATGATCTTGGGTTGGCTCTTGCTCCTGGGGCTGGTGGCACTGTGGCCTCTGGGTTCTGCAGGTGCTGCTGGGGGTTCTGGTGCCCCACTCCAACCCGTTGCACGGTGCATGCAGCCCTCCTGGCCTCGTGCAGGGCTCGCGGAGCCTGGAGGATGGTGGTCACAGCCGGCAGGTAGGATTAAGCCTGGGATTGGCGTTCTCCCCCTCCCCATGCAGAAGCAGCAGGTGGGATGAGGGATGCAGGGGATGCAGCACGGGGCGAGGCTGTGCTGGAGGTGGGTGACCCGATTCCCCTGTCTTTCCCTGCATCCCTTACATCCCCTTCTGCCAGCAGCTCCGTGTCTCAGCACTGTTCTTCCCCAAGGCCAAGGGGAGGGCTGATTCATCCCCACTGTGCCACACAAACGTACGATCACAATATTGCAGAGAGCTGTGATGCTGGAAGGAATGAGAGACTCTGCCTGCAAATGATACATGCCGGGCAGTGGAAGGGCTGGGATGGGGCTTTGGTCTTTGTGCATGAACCCACACAGGGTCAGTGTCCTGCAGCATCCCTTGGGTCGCTCCCCTGGGAGCAGATCCTGGAGCTGAGTCGCGTGGGTGCAGGCACAGCTCCCCAGGAGCAGGCAGAGGAGGTAGGTGCCCGCTGCAAACAGATGGGCTCTGGGCACAGACAGGTGCTGACTCCCAGCTTTGGGTTCAGATAGGTGATGCTCTCTGTACTCTCACCCTCCCCAGGCAGCGAGGCACGATGGCACAGCGGGTGCTGGCACTGGTACTCTGCCTTTCCCTGGCTGCAACAGCCTCTGCTGACTGCGTAACCCAGTGCTCCCTCTGTGCCAACCAGGCACATGGCACCGAGAGCAGCATCCAGCCCCTGGTGAGTGTTGGCCCCAACCAGCCCCCAGCATTCAGTACTGGGGTACAACAGCAAGGACAACTTGGGGATGTCACAGGGTGGTGGTGAAGGCACAAAGCTTGGCTCCTTGTGAGCTTGGCAGCATGGATCCAGGGGTTGGGATGGTGATGGATGGGGTGGTGGTACCCGGGTGCTGGGTGATGCCGGTGCTGTCACGGCCACTGTCTTGCAGATGTGCCTGTGGCAGTGCCAGGGCTCCTCTCCGCCTGGCGCCGAGTGGGAGAGCTGCAGGAAGGCGCTGGCACTCCTGGCCCCATTGGTGGCCCTGGCCGAGGGGACAGAAGGGACAGAAGCATCCCCAGCAGAGGCGGATGATGAGGCAGAGCCAGAGCAGGATCCCAGCCCTGAGGAGCTGCCGCTGGCACCAGCCAAACGCTACGGAGGCTTCATGAAGAAGCTGGCCAAGGGGAGGCTGCTGTCCCTGCTGCGCGACAACGCCCACAACAAGGGCAGCCTCAGCAAGAAGTCGGGGGGCTTCAGCCACAATCCAGGGGAGCGGGTGGCTCCTGAGAACTACCCGGGGCCGGGGGGGGGTGAGGAGCCCGAGGGCGCGGGGGCTGAGGGGCAGGAGCTGGCGGAGCTGCACAAGCGCTACGGGGGCTTCATGCGCCGCATCCGGCCCAAGCTCAAGTGGGACAATCAGAAGCGGTACGGGGGTTTCCTGCGGCGGCAGTTCAAGGTGACCACGCGCTCAGATGAGGACCCCAATGCCTACTCAGGGGAGGTCTTAGACCTATAGAGCCTGGCATGGGACAGGACCCTGTGCCACCAGCCCGACCCGCGTCATCACCCCATCCCTTTGTCTCCTGCTCCGAGCGGTTGCCACCATCCTCGCCTCATCCTCCTCAAAGGGCCATGGGCTCTGCCATCCCCAGCCCTGCAAATGCTCCAGTTCTGCCCCCTGTTATCTCTCTCTGGTTCACCTGCACAGCCTTTAGGGACCCTGTGCGTCCAGGGGATGGTATCACACCCCAGCTGCTGGCAGCACATCCACTGGGGATGCATCCCCAGCCCTGCCACAGCTGCAGATGCACGGCAGGGGCTGGAAAACATGACATATGATGGATGAGGCAACAGCTTCCAAGCCCCAGGAAGGATGAGCCTGAGCAGAGCTGAGATGCAGTCAGTGGACTGTACAGTGGCCATAGGGAGGGGTGGCAGGGCAGCAGGGGGCTGAGCATCCCCATCCCTTCCCCAGTCCACCCATTGCATTCTGCTCATCCTAGTGCCCACCTGGTCCTGCTGCCTTCCCTGATACAAGAATGCTCTCTGGTTCACCCCATCTGGGCCCCCTGCTCCCTTCACAGCCAATAAAAGGCAGATGCCAACAAAGCCATGGTGGGTGCTGAGCATCATCTTCCTCTGGGTGGATCCAGCCTCAGCACGAGGGGATCACATATCCCAAACCGGGGCCTTGGGAGTGCCCACAAATCCCATTGCTGCTGCCCTAAGGCCATGCTGTGGTTGTGAACCCAAGCACAGTGACCAAACCATTATATTCCCATGCATGCTTTGAGCACAGTATGACCAACAGCAGCAGCAGCTCTGTGCCAGCGAAGCCCAACCCATGCAGAACTTCTCCATAGCCTCACTGCCCAGGGCTGTAGGCACACTAAACTGTTGGGCGATGCATGCTCAGGGATCCAGCACTGACCACCCCAACCTCAGCATCACCTCCAGGCTGTTCTCCTCCTCCTTTTCCCCTTGCTGCAGCTCTGGGGCTGCACTGGATGAACCCCCTTCAAAAACACAACAAGAGCTGCCGGCCCCCCACCACACAGGCAGGTGACACAGTGACAGCCCCAAGAACCACCGACACACAGGACTTTCCACTTTTATTATAAAAATATCTTGCAAGCAACAAGAAAAAAAAAAGAAAAAGAAAAAATCACGGTCAGTACAGGCAGTCACACAGATCCCAAAGCAATGTCAGGGCTTTCCCCACCCCACACTGATCCCATGGGTGATGGGGAGGGGTGTCCTGGGGCAGGGGACACATAGAAGATAAGTGCGTCCCCCCCCAGACTTGGCTGCAGGGAGCTGCTGGTGCCCCCAGCCCACATCCAAGCAGGGGGTGTGTGTCAGACAGAAGCTCTATGGGGTTTCCAGGGTTTTTACGGAGGCCTTGTTCTTCTTTTTGCACATCTTACCCTATAGTGCAACGTACACAGCAGTACACCCACATACAACACGTGAAACATTGGGGTTGAGCTCTAGAAATTAAGACTTACATAGCAAACATTTAGAACATGTTAAACGTTACTGAGGGTAGGGGGCTGTGCCCGGTGAGGGAGGGCTCACTGTGGCCCCAAACACACAGGGTTGCCTGGCTGGAGGAGGCTGCGTGCTTTGTGCAAGCCCAGGGCACAGATCTCTAGGCTGTGTGGAGGAGGAGGATGTTTGGTGATGGGGCAAAGCCAACGTGGCTGCAGCTCGCCTCCTGCAGCCCCCCAGTCCTATTGGCGTCAGTGCAGGAGCCCATGGAAGAGACACTTGGAAAGAGAGGTGGACACTGACATCGTTCCTTTAAAGCCAGAGATCGTTTTCCACACAGCAGAGCCCCCAAAGGCAGTGGGAGCCCCTGGCCTGGAGGCACCATCCCAGATCCTGATGCACCGCAGTGCTCTCCAGCGACGCATCCTCAGGTTCTGTGAGCAAACCCAGTGCACAACCCAGGGGTCCCCACAGCCAAGGGTTTTGGGAGTCCCAAAGGCAAGGAGCCCTCAAGCCATCCCACAAGTCTGCAAACACAAGTCAACCCCCAGGAGCAGGCACAGTGCTGAAGGCTGCACTCCCATCCCAGAACACCGTGGCCATCGGTGCTGCTGAGAAAGCTCCTCTGTGAGCAGAGGGGGGAGGACCAGGACCCCCGTGAACCCCAGCCCCGCTCACTGCCTCTGGATCTGGACGCTGGCATACTCAGAGCTGCTCTCCTCGGGGTGTGGGGTGGGCCGTCGGGGTGCCTTGCTGAGGTGCACCATGTCCAGGTCGGCGTAGGTCAGGTTGTCGCTGCTGGCGGCCGGCTGGCTGCTGCTGCTATTGCTGCCCTGGATGCAGGCGTACTCCGACTGCTGGCTCAGCTCGATGATGCGGCGGGTGCTCTTCTTCTTCTCTTTGGCAAAATTCAGGTCAGCGTAGGTCAGGTTGTTGGGATCAGACTCCTGGGTGAGACACCAAAGGGTTTTGTTTTGGAAAGTGCACAGTGAGTCCCTTTCCCACCCGTGCCAAAATGCGCCGACACCGCCTGCGCATCGCACTGCCCATGCAGCAGTGCTGGGTCCATCCCACAGCGCACAGCCACGTCACCAAATGCAAAACCACCCCACAAACTGCCTCGTTTGTGCAGCTGCTTCCAGTCCTAAAGCCAGACCTCCCTGGAAGGAGGAGGAGGAGAGAAGGCAAAGGCAGAAATGATGCTGGGAAGTACTGCAGTTCCTCCTCCCCCCTTCGGCCACAGTGTGGAGACACTGAGACACTTCATGCACAGCCTCCACCCTCCTCTCCCACACTTGGGGGCTGCTCCCCACCTCGGTCCCCGAGGTTGGTGACACACCTGGGTGGTGGTGGCTCCGCTGCTCTTCTCCGGCTCGTGTAACCTGCAAGGGGAAACGAGGGGTCAGGTGCACCACGTACCTCTTCTCATGTGATGGAGTAGATGGGGGGGAGGTCAGATGCAAAACACAGAGATGTGCACTCACCTGGCAGACGGAGAGCTCTTACCTGACGGGGGAGAAATAGTTTAGGAAGGAAATAGTTCAGAGAACCCCCCACACCCCCAGGCACGCCAGCCCACACGCTGCATTTCTCAGAACTTGGACTTCATTTCAGCAGCTCCCCCCCCCCATGCCACGCACATGGTTTCCTTATCCTTACCCTTGCTCTGCTTAGTCCGGATGAGGTAGAGAATTGCAATCACCAGCAGTGCCAGCACAGTGCACACCACTCCCACGGCCACATAGATGAGACTTTCTACAATGGGAACCGCGTGTGAGAAATGTCACTGTGGACCTGAAAGCCCCAGGGTCAGCGTGGTG